CCCCAAATACATTCCATTATGCAACCTTAATTGTGGACTCTTGTGATAACCACAATACCCTATCATACATCGCTTTTAAATTATTCTCTCCCTCATCTGTTTCAGTGCAGTATGCATGTTTTAAAGTTATAAATTCATAAATTTGGTTGTAGCTGTTTTTTGCTGAGTATCTTAGCTAAATAAACAACAACAACAAAAAGGAAAAAGTAGTTTGAATCCACCAGCTGCTCAGGGGAGAAGGATGGACATTCTCCTCACATGTGACTTACAGCCTTTGAAAACCTACTGGAAGGTCAACTATCATTCTATTCTGACTCAACAGCAAATAACAAGGTCAACATCTATGTATGACAGCAGCCCCAATGTCTTATCAAACACACAGAAGAACTGCTTACCGCACACCACATACTAGCTTCTAGATATGTGGCTTCATCCAGCAACTTCAGCAGCTCCTGAAACCGAGCATCCTCATACTCAAAGCGCTCCCCAAAAGTAACGGAGCAGATAATATTGGAAACGGCATTGTTGATCTTGAAGTGAGGGTCAAAAGGCTTTCCTGGAGGAAGAGGAAGGAAGAGGTGACTTCAGATTGATTCAGTTTTATTTTCTAAAGAAAGCTTTGAGCTGTGGTGGCCTAGTGGCAAGAAGCTGCATTGCAATCTCAGAGGTACATGGTTCGAATCCACCAGATGCTCTGCTGGAGAAGGAGGAACAATCTCCTCCTGTATCAGTCAGATCTGATTTGACGGTACACACAAAAAATAATGAAATAAAATAAAATTTAAAAAAAAAGAAAAGCTTTGCCACACTTTATGTGACATACGGCACACAACATATGAGGTTATGGTTAGAGCATCCTACGCAGAGTCTGACACAGGAGTAATCAGGCAATGATTGTATAGTTACATTTATGGCCAGAGTTTGAATTCAGTCATGAATTTAATGCTTGTCTTTTTATAATCGATTCAATGAAGGCAGAATTCTTAACTTCTTACTCTTACAATTTTAGTTTTAACACAGTGTCAAACAAGAGTAAAACCTAGATGTTTAATAAGTGTTTAATAAGTATCTCTTCCGTGAATGAATGAGCCACAAACTCCTGCAGCTCTCTTACGAAACCTTCACCTTTCTCCTCTTGTATTGCTTCCACAAGGTAGCAGGCCTCCTCCTGAATGCGTTCATCTAAGCTCTTCTTTCCTAAGCCAAAGTTCCTCAGTGTTGTCATGGCAAACCTCCTTTGCTCCTTCCACTCCTGGCCACTGGACATGATCAATCCTGGAAAAAAGAATGCAAGTTCTACTTTTCTGGTTTTATAATATGAATGAATATTTGGCCCATGATATGGGGATGGGTTATCTAATCTGTTGAAGGAAAAGAACATCAAACACCTGAAACCTGTGTAGAGAAATCATCCCAAGGGAATGCCTACAAAGATAGCATTTTGTAAATGCCCCAATACCAGAAATTTTACTGTACAAATTCCATGCATTATGCAATGTTGTATGCACTGAATCTGTATGGAGATGTTGCTATTGATAAGTGTCATCTGTTGCAGTCACAATGCTTATCTTATTGCAAGCATTCCTCTCTTTCTCAGACCATCCACCTTTTCCAACATGAAGGGTTTTTTTTTCCCCAATGATAGTTGCCCCTGACACTATGCCCGAAGTATGTGAGACCAAGTTTCACTGTCATTGCCTCTAAGAAACGCCCTGGTTGTGCTTCCTTCAGGACAGACTTGTTTGTTCTTTAGCAGGCCATAGGATATTCAGTACTCTTATCCAGCAACACATTTCAAAGGAATCGATCCTTCCTCTAGCATACCTATTCATTGTCCGACTTTCAGATGCAAAGGGAGAAAGTGAAAATACTGTGACTTGGATCAGGTGCATCTTAGTCTTTGAATTGACATACATTCTCTTTAGCTCTTTAGAAAGGTCATTAACAGCAGATTTTCCCCATGCAACAACTTTTTGTGGCTTCTTAATGGTTTTTGCTGTGAGTATTGATTATAGATGCAAGTAAAATGAAATCACTGACATTTTCAATCATTTCTCCGTCTACTGTGATGTTCCCTATTAGTTCAGTGATAAGGATTTTAGTTTTCCTGATGTTGAAATGTAAACAAAGTTGAAGACTATAGTGTTTAATCTTCTGTAGTAATTCCTTGAAGTCTCCACTTGCTGCAAGTAAGATTTTGTCATCAGCGTATCACGGGTTGTTGAGGAGGCTTCCTCTAATTCTGATGCCGCATTGTTATTTATGTAGCCCAGCTTCAACAACAATTTGTTCTGCATACAGATAGCTTAAGAATAGAAAAAAAAATCCAGTGCTGACACACACGTTTCCTGATTTTAAACTGTACAGAGTTCCTCTGTTCTGCTTGGACAACTGCTTCTTGGTCTACATATAGGTTTCACATGAGCTCACACAATTAAGTGTCTGGAATTCCCACTCTTCACAATGTTAGCTAATCCCTGTGTATAGTCTGAATTTATGTTTCTTATAAAAGAAACATAAATAAATAAACCATTGATTGTGCAGACTATACACATGGATTTCACTTGATAGTATGAACAGGAATCAGATTAATTACATCAAGGGGAAAAATGTTGGAGAAATAAATATAAGCCATAAAAACTAGGCCAGCTGCTGATTGTAGAAGAGATTATCAACTACTCATTTCCAAGTTCAAACTAAAGCTAAAGAAGGTTATATCAAATCCACAGGAATCAAAATTTGACCTTGAGTCTATCCCACCTGACTTTAAAAAACATATCAGGAACAGATTTGAGGCCTTGGACACTAATAAATGAAGACCAGATGAGCTGTGGGAGGATATAAAGAATGCCATCTATGAAGAATGCAAAAGGTCATTACAAAGACTGAGGAAGAAGACTAAGATGGACGTCAGAAGGGACTCTGAATATTGCACTAGAATGCCCAGAAACCAAAGCAAAGGGAAGAAATCAAGAAGTTAAGGAGCTGAACAGAAGATTTCAAAGGGAAGCTTGGGAAAACAAAGCAAAGTATCAAAACAAAATGTGCAAAGAGCTGGGGTTGGAAAATAAAAAAGGATGAACTTGCTTGTTTCTTAAGCTGAATAAACTAAAGACTAATTCAAGCCACGAGTTTCAATGCATAAAGATACATTGAATGATGCAGGAAGCATTAGAAGAAGTGAACAGAGTATACAGAGTAATGGTACTAAAAAGAATTAGCTGACACAGAATAACTTCATGAAACAACATATGATCAGAGGCAATAGTAATAAAGGAGGAAGTTCTGGCTGCTCTGAAGGAATTGGCAAAATCAAGGTCCCAACAATGGATGAAATACCAATTGACATATTTCAACAAACAGATGCTATCCTGTGAATGCTTACCAGGTTGTGCCAAGAAACCTGGAGGACAACTACCTGGCCAAAACTGACTAGAAGAGATCTCTATTTATTCCCATTCTAAAAACAGGTGATTCAACAGAGGGTGGAAATTACCATACCATATAATTCATATGGCACACAAGCAAAATCCTGTTGGAGATTATCCAAAAATGACTGGAATTGTACATTTCTGGAGAACTACCTGAAATACAAGCCAGGTTTAGAAGAGGCTGTGGCACTAGAGACATTATTGCCAATGTCGGTTGGATCTTAGCCAAAAGCAAAGAGTACCAGAGGAATGTCTATCTGTGTCCCCACCCCCTAGCCCCAATATGTGTTTCATTGACTATGCAAAAGTATTGGACTGTGTGGATCACAACAAATTGTGGCTAACCTTGAAGAGAATGGGAATTCCAGAACACTTGATTGTGTTCATGAGTAACCCATACTCAGACCAGGAAGCAGTCCTAGGGCAGAGCAAGGAAACACTGCATGGTTCAAAATCAGGAAAGGAGGAGTGAATCAGGGTTGCGTTCTGTCTCCATACCTTTTCAATCTATATGTGGAACAGAACATTCAGGAGACTAGGCTTTATGAGGAGGAATGTGGCATCAGGATTGGAGGAAGGCTCATCAACAACCTAAATTAGGCAGACGGTACAACCTTGCATACTGAATCTGAGGAGGACCTGAAGTGTTTTTTACAGAAAGTCAAGGATTGTAGTTTTCAACATTTATTGAAGCTCATCATCAAGAAGACAATGATTCTCACCACTGGGCCAGTTGGCAGTACCATGAGCAATGGAGAAGAGAGTGAGGATATTATCAATTACAACTTGGTTGGCTCCATAATCAAAACACTTGGTACCAGCAGTTAGAAAATAAAAAAATCTAATTGCACTGGGAAAATCTACTGTCAAGGACCTCTCCAGAATACTGACAAGCATCGATGCCAGTCTAGAGACTAAAGTCTTGCTATGCCTCAGAGAGCTGGACAATGACTAAGGTTGACAGGAGAAGAATCAGTGCCTTTGGGTAGTGGTGCTGGTGGAGAGTCTTGAACATACCATGGACAGCCAAGAGAACAAAAAGGTCTGTCTTGGAGAAGATGAAACCAAGTTTCTCCTTGGAGGCTAGGATTTTGAGGTTCTGTCTCACATATTTTGTGTACATGACCAGGAGGGACTGGTTCTTGGAGAAGAACATCAAGCTCAGAAGAGTGGAAGAACAGCCCAAGAGAGTAAGACCCCAGGTGAGATGCATTGATACAGTAGGTGTGCTGGAGTCACTGAGACTGCCTCAGGACAGGGCAGTGTTCAGAACTGTTGTGCGTATTGTTGCTATGAGTCACAAGCAATGTAATGGCACATAACACCACCACCCACAACCACCACCACCTCTGCACTGGCAGTGCAACTTCTCACACACTAGACCACGGGAGGTAACTTTTACTATAAAATATTACTTCTTATATACAACTGTTTAATATTCACGTCAGTCTGTTCTGATGTGCCTTGAGTTATGATTGACTGGATGACTCATGATTTCCTGTCTCTCAAGACCTCAGTGATGAAGCATAAGGAGCTGGTGGCAAAAAAAAAAAAGCAAGTAAATGAGTTAAAGCAGCAGCTCCCCACCCATTTTCTTTCTTTCTTTTTTTAATTGATTTCAATGAAAGATTACAGAGATTTTGGATTTCCATTCATTCATTGTTGCATTTTTCTCCCTACCCACCCTGCCCCCCATTAGTTTTTCTCTTTGAAAAGTAAAAGAAAAAGATTCTTTCATTGTTATTAAAACCCTCCCTTCAAGTCCACTTCACTGTGCTACCTTCGTTCTGGACTCCTGTCGTAACAATAATATCTAATCATATATCCCTTTTAAACAGTTCCCACCCATTTTCTGTGGGAAAGAAGTTTGGAACTGTGAGCAGTGTGACAGAGTGTGCTGCCTCGGCTTGTGCTTTCAAGGAGTGATGTAATTACCTGATTGTGAAAGCAACCAAAGTGAGATTCTGCAGGACTTGCAGCTTCTCCCAAATTTCAGACATTAGGCCTGACAGTGCTGGCTTCTTATCACAGTTCCCTTAAATTAAGAAACATGGACATGTGGCTCCCTTCGGTGACTAGACTAAACCTGGTTTCTGGGAGTGCTAAAGAATTAAAGTCACCAAAACACTTTGGACAGCCTAAAGCAACATCACACAATTAAAACTTTAATTTAAGAAACTTACCATGTTTCTTGAAGACACAATGTCGGATAGCAGTCACAGGGCGGCTCAAAGTGTTTTGGTCCATATGCAAAAGGACTTCTTTGATTAACGTCAATCCAGTCACAGTAACGCTAAGGACGAATCCTAAATCCAAGCTAAGCAGATTTCCATATTTCTTCACAAGCTGAAAAACAGTTTGCTAAAGTTGAATATGCACCTATCTGTGTACCTAGCAATGAAGACAAGAGTTTTCACTGGGAGTAGTTTTGCGTGGGTGATGAGTATGTGTGTGTATGAAACTAACTCAGATGGATTAGAGATAGTCCTTCTATAATGTGTCATAATTCTCTGTTGCAATTCAGCAAATGCCTTTCTCCCTCTGTATGTCATGTTTCACACTCTGGAAAATGTTGTTGTTGTTATGTTCTGCCAAGTTGCCTGTGACTCACAGTGACCCTGTGTACAACAGCTCTGAAGTCTGCCTTGTCCTGGGCCAGTCTCACTGACTTTGTCACACCTACCTCCATTGCCCAATTACTGAATCAATCCATCTCATCTGGGGTCTTCCTCTCCTGCGCTGTCCCTCCGCCGCTCCAAGCATGATGTCTTTCTCCAATGACCAGTCTCTCTGGGCCATGTGCCCAAAGTATGTGAGATGGAGCTTCAAAATCCTAGCCTCCAAGGAGAAATTCGGTTTCACTCTCTCCAAGACAGACCTCTTTGTTTTTGTGGCAGGCCATGGTATGCTCAAAACTTCTCTCCAACACCACAACTTAAAGGCGTTGATTCTTTTTTTTGTCATCATTAGTCATTGTCCAACTCTCTGACTTGAAATATTATTAAAATGATTTCTATTTTCAAATATCTGACTTGTGATTTTGAGTTTCTGTCTCGTTGTGACCCTATGAACAAAGGCCTGAAGCCTTTCTGTAACTATCGGCATTTATCAAAGTTCATAGAGTTTCCAGAGTCATGTTGTTTAGGAAGTGGATGCCACTCCTACTTCCAATAATGTGACCAGATAAGTTATATCACTTCAAGTGTGAGTGAAAACAAGGAAGTAATTTAGTATATTGAACCCACAAAAGAAGCCTGAGTTATGGTCATGCTAAGTTTTCTATGCTAAACATAAATTATTAGCAACTCAGAGTATTGTGTTAACCAGATGACAGTTTCCTAATCCTTCAGATGTACTAGAAAGTGGAACCTTAAGGTCTGCCTCAAGGGATGTCATAAGTCCCTATCTTAAGGTTTGAGATTAGATATGGAGAAAAACTTTCTAGGTCTAGAGTTAAATGTGAACCGTGTGGCAAGAAGTTGCACTGAAGATACATGGTTTGAATCCTCCAGCTACTCCATGGGAGAAGGATGGGCAATCCCCTACCTGGAACTTAGCTGCCTCTGAAAACCTGCTCGAGGAACAACTATGGGATGGTTCGGACTTGCTGTACACAACAACAATTCACCAGTGCACTAGCTGTGAGTAGCAGGTCAAGCTGCTTCATTCACGGTCTTTGAGTTCTTCAACTATAAGAGATGTGGGGGATAGTACTCTCTCAAAGACTCTGTGATGAAGACTGCAAGCAGTAATAAGAAAGACACTCCATGTTCCTTCTGGTACTTGTAGCTCAGTTACTCAGCTGGTTTTCTTGTCACTTAGCTAAGTTGTACATGGAGACAATTTAAAGATCAACATAATAACAACATAGCCCTAAAATATCAGTCTCCTGGGAAAGCCTGACTCTCCAGAACAGCTGTCATACCTGTTTTGTTGTTCTTGTTAGGTCCTGTCAGGTTGAGGATGACTCACAGTGACCTTATCTATGAACAGCAGATCTGAATCCCGTCCTATCCTGTGTCATCTTCACACTAACTGACACACTAGAGCCCATTGCAGCAATTACCCTGTCAATCCACCTGGTTGGGGGGGTCTTCCTCGCCTTCATTGACCCTCCAATCTTCTAAGCATCATGTCCATCTCCAAGGAATAGCCCCTTCTAGCAACGCGATAAATGTATATGAGGCAAAGTCTCATCATTCTTGCCTACAATGAACACTGGCTGCACCCTCTCTAAGACTTACCTGTTTGTTCTCTTGGCTGTACATGTAGTGTTCAGTGCTTTTTCCAACACCACAGCTCAAAGTCATCAGTTTTTCTTCTGTTATCCTTATTCATTGTCCACCTCTCAGCTGTGTAGCAAGTGATCAGCAAGATCATGGCCTGAATCAGACACACCTTAGTCCTCACACTGACATCATTACTCCTAATTAATATGGATACTTCAGACTTTCTGAATGCAATGTTGTTGGGGTTGTTGTTGTTATGTGCTGATGAGTTGCTTGCGACTCATAGCAACCCTATGTATAATAGCCCTAAACTCTGTTCTATCCTGTGCCAATCATGCTGTCTCCGACACACCTATCCCGATTACCCCAGTCACCGAATCAATCTACCTCATAGAGGGCCTTCCTCTCCTGCGCTGTCCCTCCACCCTCCCAAGCAGGATGTCCCTCTCCAAAGACTGGTCCCTCCTTACAACATGTCCAAAGTATGTTAGACGGAGCCTCAGAATCCTTGCCTCCAAGGAGCAGCCTGGTTTAACCCTCTCCAGGATGAACCTGTTTGTTTTCCTAGCAGTCCATGGTACCCTCAATACTCTTCTCCGTCACCACAGCTCAAAGACATCAATTCTCCTTCTACCCTCCCTAATCATTGTCCAACTCTCTGATGCATAACAAGTGATTGCAAAGACAATGGCCTGTATCAGATGCATCCTAGTCTCCAGAGAGACACCATTGCTCTTCAGAACTTTGGAAAGGTCCCTAACAGCAGACTTTCCCATCACAACACGTCTTTTAATTTCCTGGCTACTGGTGCCAAGAATGTTGATTGTGGAGCTAAGCAAACTAAAGCTGTGAACAATCTCAATCTCTTCACCATCCATCCTGATGCTGCCAACTGGCCCAGTGGTGAGAATCTTTGTCTTCTTGACATTGAGCTTCAATCCGTATTTCAAATGCAATATATCTCCTTATTTCCTGACTGCTGGTACCAAGGGCGTTAATTATGGATCCAAGCAAGATGAAGTTGTTGACAGTTTCAGTCTCTTCTTTATACACCATTATGTTGCCTATCAGTCTAGTGGAAAGCATTCTTGTTTTCTTGACATTGAGATGCAGTCAATACAGAAGGCTGCATTCCTTAATCTTCTCCAACAAGTGCGTCAAGCCCTCCTCACTTTTAGCAAGCAATGTTGTGTCATCTGCATAATTCAGGTTATTGATGAGTCTCCCTCCAATCCTGATGCCACATTCCTCTTCACAGAGTCCAGCTTCTTGAACAATTATTTCAGCATACAGAATGAATAGATATGGAGAGAAAATACAACCCTGGTGCACTCCCTTCTTAATTTTAAATGCAGTATTTCACTACTCTGTTCACACAATAGCCTCCTGATCCAGGTATAGATTTCACATGAGCACAATTAAGTGTCTCTCTCTCGTCTGGAGCTATTAACACACAGCTGATGACATATGCTAGAACGCAGGTAGAAATGGACAAAACAGTGTAAAGAAGAGGTGAATAGTAAACTTATTAGAGTAAATATTTTGTTGTTGCTTTTTTTGTTAGATGATGTTCCTATGAACAAAAGATCAAAAATTTGCTCTATTTAGAACCATTCTCACAATGCCAAAGAAAAAACAAATTATCATAGTTAGAAACTACAGGAATGTTCAGAGAATAAAGGAAAAGGTAACAAAATAGGTAAATGCAATCAACTGTCCTCCTTCTTTGGTTTTTAAGATAATGGTTAAAAGAAGTAAAAATGGACTGGTATCTGTCATGGACTTAATTATGTCTCCCAGAAAACATATCATCTTAGGCTGTGAATCTCCGTGATTTGGTTTAGCCTATGGTGTAATTTGTCAGGTTTTTAAATGGTGTAATCAACCAATAAATTAAAGGGGGTTAGGACATGGTGCAACTCCCTTACTCATGGTGAAGCCCTGCTTCTATATAAGGAGTTGGCCTGCATCACCTCAAATCTTACATTAGGGAAAACTAGAGAGATGTGAGCAGAAAAGTAGGGAACTGAGGACTACCAGGAAAAACTGGCCAGACTTGAGGCATATAATTTGGACCTAGGGTCCCTGTACTGAGGGACTCCTAGACTCATAAAAGATTGATGACAGGGGTGTTTCCCCAGATAATGCCTCCCTCAATTTCTAAGTTGTGAGGGCTCTGGTGTTGCAACCCACAGGGAGTTGTACTGCTAATCCCAAATCCAATCCTTTTGAGTGGATAGAGTTCACAAGAGGCCCAAAGTGACAAAGACAGTCAATCTCTTTCCGTGCGATTATATAGTCTTGGAAGCTCAATGAAAGGTCAACCATGAGTCAGTTATAACTTCACTATAGTGTGGTGTTGGTTTGTTTTTGTTGGTGGTTTTGTGTTTTTGTTTTTTAAATTTTGAAACTTTAAAAATGTCACTCATTCTGTAAAAGGCAAATAGGATAATGACAGTTGACTGGTGTGGAAAAGGTGCCCTAAGCAGGGGTCACCCAGATTGCCAGACTTAGCGTCAGAACCACCTAAATCCAAAAGTCCTGAATTTGCTTAAGATTCAGGCTCATAGCAACTCTACATGACAGAGAGGACTGTCCTTTAGGGTTTTCAAGGATGGTGAACTTTCACATATTTTGGACATGTTGTTAAGAGGGGCTATTCCTTGGAAAGGGTCATCATGCTATGAAAGGTGGAAGGTCCCCAATGAGATGGATTGATAGAGCAACTGCAGCAATGGGCTCTATCTAGCATGTCAGCGATGAGGCTGGTGCAGAATAGAACAGGGTTCAGATCTATTGTTCATAGGGTCTCTATGAGAGGGCGCATAACAGTACCTACAGTCTTTACAGAAGCAGGTGGCTGATAGCTCCTGAAGCACCTTTCAGTCAGCAACAGAGCACTTATTCACTGCGCCACCATAGATCCTTCTGTTCCCCCAGTTCCCTGGAAAAATCCTGTCCTGACCTGCAGAACAGCACCAGGAAACGTGCCTATCTTACCCGCTGAATAGCCTGGTGTGGCTCTGGAAAGTCCAGCTGAAAGAAGTTTCCAAAGAAAGGCAGGCTCCGGGGCCCAGGAGGGTAGTTTTTTCCGCGCCGCCTTTTGAGAAAATCAGCAAAAAACAGAAAGGCGAAGGCGCCCAGCAAGAGAGTCCACAGATGGAATCCTGCCCAGAGGGCAGCTGCCTGGGAGCCCAGCGCTGTGAACATAGCTGGAATATTTCTCAGCTCTTCTGGCCTCTCAGTGGGTATAGATCTCAGCTCTTGCCTCGCAGCACCGCTGCGCTCTGTCCCCTGCTAGATCCCATCCCTCTCCCGGCACCGCCCCCTGCCACCTGGCCTCTTCTGCATAACAACCCTCCCCCTCGCCCTTTCACCCACTCTGGTTTAGTTTCCCACGCCCCACTTTCAGCAACACAGGAATGTTCCCAAAAATCCACCCAATCAGAGCCTCTCTCTGTGAAACACACACACACCCCTGATTACTGGTGGTTGTTCATCTTTCTGCCAGAAAGGTGGGGCTTTAGGATTAGCAGAGTAACTCGCCAAGGAATACATAACCAGGATTTTATAATAAGAGAATCAAAGACTATGTTACCTCATTTTTCTCAAGTTACTCATCTTTTCCTTATAGATTTCTAACTACTTTAGAGTTTAAGGAAAGACATTCTTTGTAACATTAATTATAAACACAACTCCCATTTTGTGTTTTCGGTTTTATCAAGTTCTTTGGGTTATAATTTTCCATACAGCAGTTAAAGAGCGCTTTTGAGTTAAGATCAACAAAGTGGACAAAGAGGAAGACTTTCATAACTATAAGCAGGGGGGAGAAATCTGAAACTCTGACTGGCCCTTTCCTCTGGTGGTTATCAGAGAGGCTTTATAGCAAAATGTCACTGTTATGTGCCCTTGACATGACTGTGACTCATAGACGCCTAAGAACAATGGCTCTGAACACTGCCCTATCCTCAGTCAACTTTTTTTCTAATACACCTGACCTCATTACCATAATCACTGCTTCAATTCATCTCATCCAGTGTCTTCCTCTCCTGTGCTGACCCTCTAACCTTCTCAGCATGGTATCCTTCTCCAAGGATTGGTCCCTCCTGACAACATGCTCAAAGGATGTGAGACAGAGTTATGAAATTTTTGCCTCCAAGGAGCAACTTGGATTAATCCTCTCCAG